GTAGCTTAACTTAACAAGTCACTATTGAGAAAAAAGTGACAGAAGGTATCACCTAAGATAAAGAATAAAAAAGCAAATAGAAAAGGAAATAAAACATGCTGCTGGAATTGATTCCTAAAGCAAAGAGTAGTTGTAAGTGTAAAAATCAGAGATCGGGAATTCAGCTATTTGGATGTCACAGTCTAAGAAGCCGCTAATCCCAATAGAGAACAATATAAAGTGCCCTTCATGAAGGGAATGTGCCTTTATGTGATATCAATGTCTATTTGGACTAAGCACAAAAACAACAGCTGTGTGTCAGTTCAGGGTTTGGTACAAGAATATCCTGTACAGATAGATTGTAAATGGGGAAATCTTAAAGCAATGAGATTGGTACTTTCCTTCCCAGAAAACGAAAGTGTGTCATGGGGTGACACCACTCCCAATAGTCTCAGCTCATGCTATATGACTCACATTCTGTTTCTGCCAATAAGAGTGGAGGGTTTGAGCAATAGGAAGAGGCTGAATAGGCTGGAACTACTTTCCCTAGAGCGTTGGATACCGAGGAGTGACTTTATAAAGGTTTATAAAATCATGAGGGGCACAGATAGGGTAAATAGATAAGGTCCTTTCCCTGGGGTAGGGGAGACAAAAACTAGAGAGCATAGGTTTAAAGTGAGAGGGGAAAGATTTAAAAGGGACCTAAGGGGCAACTTTTTCAAGCAAACGGTGGTGCATGTGTTAACACCATAAGACCATAAGACATAAGAGCAGAAATTAGGCCATTCGGCCCATCGAGTCTGCTCCGCCATTCAATCATGGCTGATAAGTTCCTCAACCCCATTCTCCTCCTTTCTCCCCGTAACCCTTGATCCCCTTGATAATCAAGAATCTATCTATCTCAGTCTTAAATGTACTCAATGATCTGGCCTCCACAGCCTTCTGTGGCAGTGAATTCCATAGATTAGCCACTCTCTGGCTGAAGAAGTGTCTCCTTATCTCCATTCTAAAAGGTCTTCCCTTTACTCTAAGGCTGTGCCCTCGGGTCCTAGACTCTCCTACCAATGGAAGCATCTTCCCAACATCCATTTTGTCCAGGCCATTCAGTATTCTGAAAGTTTCAATTAGATCCCCCCTCATCCTTCTAAACTCCAATGAGTATAGTCCCAGAGTCCTCAAACGTTCCTCAAATGTTAAGCTTTCCATTCCTGGGACCATTCTCGTGAAACTCCTCTGGACCTGCTCCAGGGCTAGTACATCCTTCCCTGAGATATGGGGCCCAAAACTGCACACAATATTGAATGAGCTGCCAGAGGAAGTGATGGAGGCTGGTAGAATTACAACATTTAAAAGGCATCTGGATGGGTATATGAATAGGAACGGTTTGGATGGATATGGGCTAAATGCTGGGAAATGGGACCAGATTTATTCAGGATATCTGGTTGGCATGGAAAAGTTGGACCAAAGGGTCTGTTTCTGTGCTGTACATCTCTATGACTCTATGAGGAGTGCTCCAGAAGCATATCTCTTAATTGTTTTGTTTCAGGTGAAATACCAGATTGATGATGGCAGGAGTAGCGCAACACTATCCTGGTAACTGCAGCAGTACGAGAAGTGCCCACTGTGTACATCAGTAAGACCACCTGCCTGCATCCTGGGCAGTACATGCAACAAAACATAATAGAGAAAGGAGACAACTGCTAAAGGCCCTGAGTGGTACATAGTACGTTATCATCATGGCTAAGATTTTGCCAGAATGGACTCATTTACTTCCTTTCATGTGGGAACTAGAACTTGAAGGACGATATTGTCATGGATTGTTTATTGATATTAATTGGTTAGTATGTACTGATGTATGATGTTTCACTGGCACTACATGCAGTTAATAGAAGTTGATGCAGTGTCCCATTTCTGTTACCTCTCAAGGACAACATCATAAGGATAAGGAAACCAAAGATGGCATTACTTTGAATACATTAGGAGTTACTGATAATTTAAATAACTAAAAGCCATCTGCAACATACGCCTTGAGTCAACTGGCCAGGCAGGCCACAAACTTAATAATCAATTGCTGACTGGAAGAATTGTACAGTTCTTAGGATAAGCAGCCGTAAGATTAGAAAGAAACAAAATATGTTTTGATCAATTTAATTTAGACATAAAATCATGGCAAATGTCAATTATAAATTATAACACTTCATGGTTGCTGCCAGAAGCACTAAAGGACAAAATATGCACTCATGACGATCAATTTGTAAGAAGCCTAACTCAAGACTTAATTGATAACGTAGAATTAGATATTGAACATATTTCTTACAATCATAGAATCACTAGTGTGAAAGCTGGCCATTCGGCCCAACGAGTCCACACTGACCCTCCAAAGAGCATCTCACCTGGACCCATCCCCTACCTATCCCTGTAACCCTACATTTCCAATGGCTAATCCACCTAACCTACACATCCCTGGACACTATGGGCAATTTAGCATGGCCAATCCACCTAACCGGCACATCTTTGGAATATGGGAGGAAACCAGAGCACCCGGAAGATGCCCACATAGACACAGGGAGAATGTGCAAACTCCACACAGACAGTCACCCAAAAGTGAAATCAAACTCGGCTCCCTGGCGCTGTGCGGCAATGGTTAATCCAGAACCAGGAAGTAGGAAACTATTGGTGACTCACCCAATTCAGGGAAAGGTGTGGATATATTCTGTCCAAATACACTGCAAAGTTGCTTCCTGAGTCTTGATGAGATTGGTGCTACCACAGCACCAATGGTGCTGTAATACCATTTATCCAACCTGGTAGTGTTAATCAAGTTGATTATGTCAGAATGATTAAAGGATCTGATTATGTTGCATGAAATGATGTACTACTACATGTAGTCCCAGAATGAGATAGATCAGGGGGAATTAAATTGGAGGACTGCAGCACCTGCCATGGTGTAGTAGTGTACCCTCAGGGTATAGTGTGACCCTGAGACCACATATGGGTCAATACCACTAAGGCCAAGGCCAATTACACCAACTTATACCAATTACACCAATTATTTGATGCCAGCTATAAACCAGAATGGACTGCTTATGTTTGTGAAGGAGAGTACTGTGTAACTACATTTTCCCAAGGTTGAAATGTCAATTACTAGGGGACATAGGTTTAAGGTAAAAGGGAGTAAGTTTAAAAATTATGTGAGAGGCAAGTTCTTTGACACAGAGGTGGTGAGTGCCTGGAATGTGCTACAGAGGAGGATCTGGAGGTGAATACAATAGCAAAGTTCAAGAAGTATCTTGACAGTTATATGAATAGGCAGGGAATCGTGGGATACAGATGGTGTAGAGGCAAAATGTCTTTAGTTTAGAAAGGCATCACGTGTTGGTGCAGTCTTGGTGGGCCAAAGGGCCTGTTCCTGTGCTGTACTGTTCTTTGTTCTTTTTATACTTTGACTAATGAAAGGTCTTTTAAATTATACAGCCAAAATCTGTGAGATACCCTACTAACCTTCTGCTTTAACCCCAGAAATCTGGGCTCAGATTGGTTGCAAGGAATTGATAAACATATACCGCAGAAACTCCATGGAGATACAAGTGACCAATAGGAATGTGTCAAATTGTTCAATAATGAGGTATCACCTCTAACAGAGCATCTGCCGAGAATCTGCAAGGACATTGGCAAATCTTGTTGAATGGTTACAACCTGGGATAGAAGAATTGAATCTTTAAAAAAGACATTGAGGATATTAAGACCACTAGTTGGTGGCAGAATAGTGGAACAGCAGACCTAACACACAAACCCATCCTTGGATACAGACCATCCCATGTGTCAGTGATCATACAATTGATAATCATTTTGTAATTGCTTTCCAAAGCCTCTGATTGAAGGAGCAACAGCTGGCTGAAAGGCTTGCCAACATTGTGGTGAAAGAACAAGAAGAGGGGGTGCTGCATTAAAGATGCTTGGCTGTAATTATTAAGAAGAAACCCAGGATGCAGGTTGTGCTGAAAGAGGTGCAAGATAAAAGCTTAGGGATGCAACACCCACAAGGACAAGAAAGATCTCTGGATATCCTTTAGGTACAGTGTCCAGGTGGTGGCCACCTGGCTCAGAGACTTCTGGCTGAGGCCCACAGGAGGGATGGAAGTGAGATAATTGATTAAGATTGGTATTTAAATGTATACTAATAGCTCAGAAGAGACAGATGTAGCTATGATTATCTTCTCAAAGCACGATAGAAAATGTGGCCAATACTGTAGGAATGAAAGGATATTATTCCATTCCTGTGCGAATCTAGCTAAGAATATGTGTTGTAACAATTTACTGCTAATGAATTGATACACAGATTACAGAGTTAAGGCAAAACTGAAGGTTGAATTGCCATAGAAACCAGCAGACCCAATGCTGAGATTGAGATAAGGGGGTCTTGTATTACATTGAGAATTATACACTGTGCTGAAACTTCTGAATTTCTGGCAAATCTATCCTGGGCAACCAGACGAAGCTTGTCCCCAGCATATGCTGGAATAAAATCTACAGTTACTGTACTCAAAAGTGGCTGTTTTAAAATCACTGCAACAGTGTGCCATTTGGTGAATGTAATACTCAGAGCTGGTAAACCTGATGGTTGGATAGAACCTTGGGCCTAATTCCTCCATGAATAAAAGAGCTGAAAGTTGACTTGAGAGAATCAGAGCTTTGTGGGACTCCAAGGCTGAACTGATATTATGCATTCTGAAGGAACCACCACAGAATACTGAAATGCCTTTAATTGCTGCATGGTCTATCTAAAATGAAATTTATAGTTTCTACAAAATATAATTTGCCTTTAATTTATGTTGATTTAGAATCAAGCCTAAGTAAGAAAATTTTAGTAATGAAAACCTGTCCATCAACTTCTTTATCATGCTTAGTGTTAAGTTTGGTTCTTTTCGATTATTAGTCTCCATAGGATTGTAACAAATTATATTCAACATTAAATGGTTATCATTTTCAACATTACCAGAATCTGGGCAATTAATACTCACCATCCGATACTGCACATTAAGCATTACCGTCTGTTGAACATAGCGCTCAAATAGTGATGTCTCCATGCCAAGACGCCGGCAGAACTCATTGGTTATTATAGGCCGGAGTTGCATATGGTCACCCAGAAGAACAATCTGAAGGTAAAAACATAATTTTATACACAAATGGTATGGAATCAAATAAATCAAACTTAAGCAAACTAATACTTCTTTCATAGTCAAAATAGTTCATTGCATAGGCATTACAGGGTGAATCTTTCTAATCTTCTTTTATATAGTGCAACCCAGCGATCCAATACACCTAGGCTCAACGACAGGGAAATCTATTCCACATATCAGATTATACTCTGTACTACCAACTCTCTTGAATCCTCCATCAATCACAAAGTAGAACTTCTGCCCACAATAAAGACACTGAAATCAGAATTACTCCTCCTCTTCAGTAGTGATTTATATGGAATTAGAACCACCTGAATTGAATGTTTCCTGAAGAAACAGTGTTTAACAGTAGATTGAAAACCAAATCATTTCACTGGACCTCTGTCAATAAATTTATAAGGCATGTCAAGGTTACATAAAATTTTGACAGCTGTTTATCTTTATCTTCTAATCTTATTTTTAACTATTATCTTTGCAGAAAAAAAGAGCAGACAAGTGTAATGTACGCGCATTGCTGGACATAATATTGCAAAAGGAATGCAGGGACTGCAGAAATTATCTGGGAGTTTGGCATTCATGGAGTCATAGAGTCAGAGAATTGTACAGCATGAAAGCAGACCCTTCAGTCCAATTCATCCATGCCAACCAGATATCCTAAATTAACCGAGTTCCATTTGCCAGCATTTGGCCCAAATCCCTCTAAACATTTCGTATTCATATAACAATCCAGATGCCTCTTAAATGTTGTAACTGTACCAGCCTTCACCCCTTTCTCTGGCAGCTCATTCCATACACGTACCACCCTCTGCGTGAAAAAGTTGCCCCTTAGATCCGTTTTAAATCTTTCCCCTCTCACCTTAAACCTATGCCCTCTAGCTTTGGACTGCCTGACCCCAGGGAAAAGACCTTGTCTATTTACCCTATCCATGTCCTTCTTTAAGGTCACTCCTCAGCCTCCAATGCTCCAGGGAAAATTGCCCCAGCCTATTCAGCCTCTCCCTATTGCTCAAACCCTCCAACCCTGGCAACATCCTCGTAAATCTTTTCTGAACACTTTCAAGTTTCACAACATCCTTCCTATAACAAGGAGATTAGAATTGAATGCAGCAATCCAAATGTGGACTAACCAATGTACTGTACAGCCACAACATGACCTACCATCTCCTATACTCAATGCACCGACCAATAAAGGCAAACATATCAAATGTCTTCTTCACTAGCCCATCTACGTGCAATTCCACTTTGAAGAAACTGTAAATCTGTACTCCAAGGTCTCTGTTCAGCAACACTTCCCAGGACCTTCCCAATATGTGTATAAGTCCTGCCCTGATTTGCCCCTAACAAACTGCAGCATCTCACATTTATCTAAATTAAACTCCATCTGCCACTCCACAAACCCATTGGCCCATCTGATCAAGGTCCCATTGTGGTCTGAGATAACCTTCTTCGCTTCCCACTACACCAACAATTTTGGTGTCATCTGCAAACCTACTAACCATCCCTCCTATATTTGAATCCAAATCATTTATATAATTGACAAAAAGCAGTGGACCCAGCACCAAACCTTGTGGCATACGACTGGTGATAGGCCTCTAGTCGAAAAAGCAACCTTTCACAACTATTCTCTGCCTCCTGCGTTCGAGCTAGCTCTATATCCAAATAGTTAGTTCTCCCTCTATTCCATGTGATCTAACCTTGTTAACTAGTCTACCATGCAGAATCTTGTCAAAAACCTTACTGAAGTCCATATAGACAATGTCCACCGCTCTGCCTTCATCAATTCTCTTTGTCATTTCTTTAAAAATCTCAATCAAGTTATTGAGACACGATTTCCCACGCACAAAGCAATGTTGACTATCCCTAATCAGTCCTTGTCTTTCCAAAGTAGATATAAATCCTGTCCCTCAGAATTCCCTCCAACAACTTGCCCACCACTGATGTCAGGCTCACCGGTCTATAGTTCCCTGGCTTTTCTTTCCAGCCTATCTTAAATAATGGCACCACGTTAGCCAACCTCCAGTCTTCCAGCACCTCACCTGTGGCTATCAATGATACAAATATCTCAGCAAGGGGCCCAGCAATCACTTCCCTCGCTTCCCACAATGTTCTGGGATACACTTGATCAGGTTCCGGAGATTTATCCACCTTTATGCATTTTAAGACATCCAGCACCTCCCCTCTGTAGTATGGACACTTTTCAAGATATCGCTATTTATTTCTCCAAGTTCTCCAGCTTTCCATATCCTTCTCCACAATGAATACTGATGCAAAATACTTGTTTAGTATGTCACCCATCTCCTGCAATTCCATGCAGAGGCAGCCTTGTTGATCTTTAAGGGGCCCTATTATCTCCCTGGAAACTCTTTTGTCTGTAAAGTATTCTTAGAATTCCTGTGGATTCTCTGTAACCCTATTAGCCAAAGCTATCTCATGTCTCCTTTTTGCCCTCCTGACTTCTAACTATACTCCTACTGCCCTTATATTCTTCTAGGGATTTACTCGATCCCTGCTGTCTACACCTGACATATGCTACCTTCTTTTTCTTGACTAGAGCCTCAATTTCTCTCATCATTCAGCATTCCCCATACCTACTAGCCTTATCTTTCACCCTAACAAGAGCATACTGTCTCTGGACTCTCATTATCTCATTTTTGAAGGCTTCCCACTTTCTAGCCGTCCCTTTACCTGCAAACATCTGCCACCAAACAACTTCTGAAAGTTCTTGCCTAATGCTGTCAAAATTGACCTTCCTCCAATTTAGGACTTTAACTTTTAGATCAGTTCTATTCTTTTCCATAGCTATTTTAAGACGAATAGAATTACGATTACTGGCTCCAAAGTGCTCCCTCACTGACACCTCTGTCATTTGTCCTGCCTTATTTCCCAAAAGAAGGTCAAGTTTTGCTCCTTCTCTAATAGGTACATCCACAAACTGAATAAGAAAATTTTCTTGTACACACTTAACAAATTCCTCTCCATCCAGGACCTTAAAACAATGGCAATCCCAGTCTATATTTGGAAAGTTAAAATCCCCTACCATTACCACCTTGTTATACTTGCAGATAACTGAGATCTCCTTACAAATTTGCTTCTCATTTTCCCACTGACGATTGGGGGATCTGAATTCAGTGCTGAATATGAGACTAAGAATTAACACTTTGGGGGAATATAGTCAGAAGCAAAGCCACAGCATCATGGAATATTTAGTTAGATATTAGCTACTAAGATTTAGTTACAGTAGGGGTAAGAAATGGTGGAACGTTGGGGGAAAGCAAAATGTAGAAAACTTTCAGGGATAGTTATTGGGGATTCAACAGGCAATGGATAATCATTTTTCCAGCTCTAAAGGGGTCTCTTGAATAGAGTGTTGTCTTCCCGGCATCAACTAAAGGATATCACTGAATGATTGCAGGACATTCATCAAAGGAGAGATGAACAGCACATGACAAGGGAAACAGTGATGAGGTGAGGAGTAGGATTGAGCAAGGAGAGTACTAGAGATCAAGGCCTCAAAGGACTCCCAGGATAACATGTAGGTGAATGAACAAAAGTGCTGATGAATACATGCCTAGAAAAGGGGTGCAAGGCATAACGCTTCATATTTCAGATCAGATTTGGGAAAAAAGAGCTTTGCATGACTTGAACAGGGTCAAGATCAATATCCTCACAAAGATTAACTAATGATGTGATATGGAAAAAATAACTAATTTAGCAGCAGGAAGGTCAAGAGCACTTAGCAGCAAAAATGGATGTGTATTATTATTCAAATAAAGTTGCCAAGTTACAAGCACCAGTTGCCGCATTATGAGAGAGATCTGTGTTAGGAATGGCAATAGAGCATTTCTGGCTACAATATATTCAGGAAGGGTAGGGATGGTTAAAAAGACAATAGGAGGATTGGCAGAACTGATCAAGGATTATAATACAAACCTAAAGATGGACAATATATTTGAGACTTCAAAGACTGGGATCCATATGATTAAAGATAGAGAACCGATAAAAGGAGTCACCGTGTTGTAAGGTGTTTACTACAGCATCCAAATAATGAGGACATGGAGGAGCAAATGCTGGGGCAAACTTCTGAGATATGTGAAAAGAGGAACATATGAGACTTCAATTACCCGTATACAGATTGGGGAAGAAAAGAATAAAGGGCAAGTCAATGAAGAAATTTAAGCTAATTAGTGAGGGCTAACATGGATTTGACAGGTAGGTCATGTCTAACTTATTGCATTCTCTGAGAAAATATCTAGGTTTTTGACAGCTCCTTCTCTACCACTCTAGTTATTTCTTCAAAACACTCCCTCAGGGAGAGATAATCTGGAAAAGTCAGTCATGGTTCACTGAAGAACATGGCTCACCAACATAAGACGGTGCAGCATTTCATTCTCCTTGTTTCAAAAATAAATTAGATGTGAGAAATGAAAACTGATGATCAGAAATCTACTTCTAAAGATATCTTAGAGGATAAGAATTTAACCTTACCTGTTTTGCTTGTTTATGCGCAACAATAGGGATTAACAGTTCTGGTTCAGTGCACATGGCACTCTCATCCACCAATACTTGCCGCACACTCAATTGTTGCAGAGCTTTGCTGGAAGAAGTGGCACACGTGCAAAGGATAACATCATGACGTTTTAGTTCATACTTGCGTGCATCATTGAGCAATTTCTTGTACCTAGGAAATTATTCCAACTGTCAGACCAAAAAGTAAACTTTACAACATAGTATTACAGAACTCTCCTGAACATTTGACATAATCTCAGCAGAAGGCCTACAGAAATTTCAGAAGTAGCAGAAGAGTGAGGGATCCTTTGCAAATTCAGTCCAATGTATTGTCACCAATATATGTGGCAACAATAATATTAGTATCTCTGGCAGCAACTTAGAATTTTAACAATGGCTAGGATAGCCAAAGAATAGCAGAAGAATGAGCATTTCTGCCACAGAATTCAAATGACAAACATAACTGTCCACTGTTGAGATGTTCCCTATAAAACAGCACACCAATTGACCCAAATCCTTAACTAAAAATATAAAACACCAACCGAAAAGTCTCAACCACTTTTGCAATAATATGAAGCTTTTGATTGTGGTCGTACCATCTTTAAGGAACCACAGAGGAAATATCCAGTCCAAGTGCCGTACAATTTAAAATTTGGCATTTAATGTCACTGGAAAAAAAAGCCCTTACTGGAAATTAACAATGAAAAAAATCACACCGCCCATATATTTAAAATGTTACATCAGTGAGATTCTGCTCTTTATCACAAGTCAGGTGCATGCTTTGTGAAATGTTCAGTGGAAGCACCAACTAAGCTACACACGATGTGGATGAAAAGGGTTTAGGTTAGGACAGTGCCAAGCTTTTTACAGTTCGTCATATCAACTCTCACCACATGCCTATTTAGCCAAAAATGAACAAAATGTCATGCACTGGTTAAACTATGTCAATGAGCATATATTAATGATTGGTTTAGCAATCTAATGATGCAGCAAATCTCAGCAAACAGAAAAGATAAATTAAACCTGAAATTTATTGAAGAGGTAAGGAAGAAACAGCACCATCCAACTCAAAACCCACATGTCATCCTGGGTCTTGAATTCTCCAAATCTTATTCTATTGACTGAGCAGGACAAGTAACTTGCAGCTCCCTAGGTCAAATGTAATTAAATTACAGCTTTTAACCATTTTTCAAAAGCAGTGATTTCATTGTAAATTATTGCAAATTAATCTGAAATTAGGTTTAAAACTTTGTTTACTGCTTCAGATCTGCAAGTCTGCCACGTCCACAAACTGCTGTGAAAGCGAACAAAGATGGGAGATAGAGTGATGGCATACCATCACCTACACTCCCTTGGTTGACATTCCTAGCACACATCATGAACACACCAAAAGAAAAATACTTGGGAAATAACAAACAGTATTGCAGCAAAAAAAACAAAGTTAAACACAACAAGGCTCACCTTTCTTTATTGAAAATTAATCTAGGCCTTCCAGTCCAGTCCTGCCAATTTTCCATTTGATCTGGACAAGTAGCCCAGAAATGTTCTCAGGAAAATACTTCACCTACACTGTGTATTAGTCCATTGCCCTGATTGAAGACAGGGTAAAGATATTTCCTGTTATGTTCTGACAGATGGTGGATCCTCAGGATTTAGTTATTAAGTGGGCTATTCAACTGCTGTCAGAGTGCAGACGATCACGAGGAGGTCTCAGCAACAGGTCAAACAAAGTTGATTCTACTCCCAGCCTACAGAGAGTCTAGACAGTGCATTTAGCACAGGAGTCTCAACTTCAGCACGCAAGTAAGCTTGTGGCTAGAAATCGCTGGAATAAAGGGGAATTTTTGCTACAGGCAGAAGAGCTGACCTGGGATGGAAATGTCAACTGTAGGCCCACACAGCTAATATAGGCTTCTCTGTCATTTAAGTTGTCATAAGTGATCTCCACCTCAAATCTACTTGACACACACTCTTATACTCTTGTGATTCCTCTATCTAACAAACACTTGTGAATCTCAGGCTTGATCATTTCAATTGACTCAATCTCCACAGATATTGGCAGGAGTGCTGCAAATGATCACAACCCTGTGTTTGAAAAAGTGCTTCCCGATTTTTGACTTGAGGACTTTAGCTCTAATTTTAGGATTGTGCACATTCATTCTGGATGCTTTCACCAGAGGTAGTGACTTATCTTTTTTTCCATTCTCAATGATTTGATTGAATCATCTGTCTAAACTCATAAACCAAGTTCACACATGCCCTTTAATCCCTGGTGTCATTCTGGTGAATCTAAACAATACTCCCCTTTCATTGTGAATATATCTCTTCTGATGAATAGCACTTAATTTGTTTCTTTTATTCATTCACAGGGCGAGGGTGTGATTGGTTAGGTCAACATTTATTACCCATCCATAATTGCATAGAGAGCAGTTAAACACGTTGTTCTGGGTTCTGAGTCACATGTTGCGCAGATCAGGTCAGGATGGTAGTTTCTCTCTCTAACGGACATTAGTGAACCAAATCGGGTTTTCTGACAATCGACAATGGATTCATGGTCATCTTTAGACTCTTAATTCCAGATTTTTATTGAAAATAAATTCTGTCAAATGGATTCGAACCCAAGTCCCCAGAACATTACCTGAGCCTCTGGATTAACAGTCCAATCATAATTCCACTAGGCTTTCACCTCGCAAATTCAGTGGTCCAGATAAAGACTGACCAGGGGTGTGTAAAACTGAATCTTCACTTCCTGACTTTCAAGCTCCTTGAGAGAAAGTCTAATATACCATTAGCCATTTTAATTATTTCTTGTAATTGTGCACCATCTTTTGCTAATTTTTTAATTAATTTCCCTTCATTCCTCCATGATTTCTGACCTCCCAACGAAACATTCCAATTAGTTAAAACGTATTTCCTCATTCTTCATTGCACTTCAACTGACATAACTTTGCCCAGTTACTTTGCCCAGGCTGTCTGTTCCCTCGCTGTCAAATTGCTATCAAATTCTGGTATGTTACACATCATTAAATCTAACATAAGACTCCCTTATTCAGTGTAAAACAAACTGTTCTGTAACTGTCTTTAGTATATTCATAAAATCAATTCTGCACCGTGAACAATAAAATGTCCTGCGGTAACCATATGGTTTTTAGCAGGTAGCTGCCAGTTCTCTGTAGCTCTACAATACCACCCCACCATCCCACACTCCCCCACCCCACTCCAAATTTCAATTCATCCCATTTCTAACGCCTGACTGCCTCTACTGAAATCTCTTGATTTTGTAAACATAAATGTTGTCATCTTCCATTACAATTTTGCTGTCTTTTGTCTGGAACTTGTAATTTGGAATGTTTAGCTTCCAATCATGCCCATCTTGTAGCCAGGTCTCTGACAATGGATACTAATCCTTGAGATCAATTTGTGTATTGTGCTCATTTGATTTATTTCTTAGGCTACATGCATTTGTGTACAGAACTTTTACTTGCATAGCACCGCCAACTTGTTGACGTGTTTTCTTCTTTAAGGTCAGAATCATCTACACTTAGTCTATCTGAATATTTTCAGGTCAAGAATCCAGTTGGCTAGTAGGTGCAGCTTAACCCTGGTTTCTAAATCAGCCACAGCAATAGTACACCACTCAAAGGTGCCCAAACAGTTCAGTGGGGGAGAAAGATGACATAACCATTCTCTCAAAGGAAGGATGTCTCATTAAAGGGACCATGAATTACAATATCTCACCAATATATGGATTTTTCTTTTAAGCAACCACAGATTGGACAGGAGACTCGGGAAAGCTGCTTGCCGTGTCTCTCACCCATAACCTGACAGTTCTGCCTTTGGATTGGAGGGGCTACAGTAAGTTGAGCTTTCTTGAGGAGGGGAGGAAAAAGACAACACACAATTAAACAGATGTGCTTATAAGGTGTAAGCAGCAGCAGTGTGCTCCCTTCAACTTGGAAACATTTCACCAAGGATTGAGGACCTCATGAGGTATGACAGATGACTGAAGTTAAGACCTTCAGGTAGCTAGCCCACCCTGACTTTCCAGCATACTACTGCACAGCACTCCTCAGAATAACCTTGCAGCTCTAATCATTCCCTCTTTCCCCCTCCACTCTCTCTCCAGGCACCTCATGCTTTCACTTGAATCAGCAACACTCACAATCACCATCAATCAATTGCCCTCTAACACCCATGCTTCAGTTACCCTCCACAAATATTATCCTTCTCTCCTGTTCTCACAAACATTTTGAACACTCACACCTCTCTGTTTTTTCACCTATTCGGAAAAAAAAAGTACATAACTTGTGAATAGGCAGCAAGCTGAGGGGTATTGGCCATTCAGTGACAGGCACCTTGACAACCGTCAATAATGTGTACCTTCTGCTGCTGATTAAATAATAAGGTTCTATGGATGAATTTCAAAGCAAGTACAAGCTACTTGTACAAATTATACAATAAGTTAAAAGCAAGAAAAATACACAGGTAGAGTTTTTTTCTGACTTACTGCACTATTTCTTCTTCTGTCACTATTGTTCCACTTTGAATTTTTTCATCATATGCCTTTATTCTCGGCGCAAAAGGATTAGATTGTTGTCGTATTTTGTAATGTAGTGTTATTGGCCTGCAAGAAAAAATGCACTACAGTTAATTATTAATTCTAACTTCAGCCAAAGGCTGTTCCCATACACATAAAGTACTGGATACACAATGGTTATTTCTGTTTAATACCTACACCGACCTTAAGCCAATAAAATAGTTCCTTTAATTGAAACGCCTACATGCAAGTATTAACTCAAGTGAAGATGAAAGTTGAAAATCATGGAATTGAAGATGCCATAAATCAGAAAGGAGGCATTTGTCAATAATGAAGCTGTTTAAATGTTATATTCAAGTCTTGGCTGAATTTAGGGTTCTTGAGTTGGATGTTCAGCATTTGGAAGTAGGATCCTCCACTATCAACAGCCTAGGTGTTACCATTGATCAAAAATTAACTGGATCAGCCGTATAAATACCATGGCCACAGAGGCTAGGAATTCTATGTCAATTGACTCACCTCCGGACTCCTGAAAGCCTGCTTCCATCTACAAGAAGTAGGTCAGGAGTGTAATGGAATACTCTCTGTTTGGTTGAATGGGTGCATCTCCAACAACACTCAAGAAGGTTGACACCAGCCAGGACAAAGTAGCCCACTTGACTGTGTCCACCCAGCATGTTCAACTTTTAGTCCCTTCACCACCAAAGCACAGTGGCAGCAGTGTGCATCAGGAACAAGATGTACAGATGCAACTCACACAGATTCCTTAGACAGCATCTTTCAAAACCTGTGTCATTTCAAAGGACAAGGGAAGCAGATACACAAGAGCACAACTGTTTGTAAGTTCCCCTTTGAGCCATACACCATCCCATATTGCAGCTCCATCATGTTACTGGACCAAAATTCTGGAATATCCTCCCTGACAGCACAGGGGATGGCAGCTCCCCATCACCTTCTCCAGGGCAACTCGGGATACCTTGAAAAACCTGGTGAGATTGCAGAACTGATTAACTAACTATTCACGGCTGGTATCTTTGGCACTTCTGTCGAGAGTGCACATCTTTTCTCTTTGGTTAGTTCCCAACACACCCTTCTCTACTTCCATAGCAGTATCCAAATATAATGGGCCCTTGGTCATTCCACACAATAGAAATGGTGCTCTTCCTTTCATCATCGTTATTTTTATCTCAGAGTTGTAGCCGCAAATCTCTTCCTCTGTTTATGTCATTTTTCTTCCTTCGTTATTCACTTCTTATGCTCCTGATCAACTGCAGCAATAATTTAACTGGCACCATTCAGCTCAATTTCCTTCCCTTCTCAATTGTGTCATCCTAGAGACCAGCAGAACTGTCACTCTCACTTCTCCCTGCATCCTCAATGAGGTTGGCCCCCAAGGAAAATGCCAGGGATACCATTAGGATCACATGGGCAGTCGGGTGTTGGGGAGAGTTGCAGGGCACGCAGAAGATCCCTCTCAATAATTTTCTCAATAACTGCAGGAAAATCCATTTATAGATTTTTCTATAGACATAGATGCAAAATAAACTAAATATATTCACTATGCACCAAGCTTGGCTGTAAACAGTAATAACATTCCCTTAAATTTCTGTCTGCTATTTTAATGTAGTCAGCTATAATACTGAAATAACCAACATTAATGAATTAAGCCTCAATGATCGAAAATATATGAAAGAAAAATATATGATTTACCACTGTCACTCAGTGGCCATAATTGCAGCATTCATGTCAAACAAAAAGTAGCATAATCTTGGCATATCAATCAGTTGGTCAAGCATGAGACTTTAAGAGCCGAATTTTCCCAGGACTACCAAGACAGCCCTGGAGGCAAGGGTGTAAGGAGATACGGAAAGACATGTAATGGCTGGCTCCCTGACACATGTGTGCATATTTCTCTGAATTAGACCAGCAGTTTCAATGACAACCCTACTGCGCAGCTGCTGAAATTTGCCGAAGGACAGTAAGAGTCACTTAAGTTAAATTTTCCAGGCTGTAAGAAATTTTCCCAATGACAAATGGGCTCCGTGTTGTATCAGAAACCATAAAGTGGATTGGTGGGGAAGGGTCAATGGCTACTCAATGTGCTCCCTTACCAATTTAGAGATGTCAATGGAAGTCTGAACCATACCTCTACGACGTGGAGCTTCTGCAGGATTCAAAATACATCAAGCAATGGGTGGCATCGACCCCAAAAATGGCCAAATCTCATGTGAAAATTGAAGTGGAGCAACGAATCAGAAACAAAAGTTGCTGACTTGTGGAACTCAGGACTTTTTTTCCAATGAGCTGCTCCTCCAATCACAGGCTCCTCCTCGCCCATGTCTGCTGCTGATAGGCTCACCAGGCTCACCAAGCACAAGGGCAGGAGGGAGGTAGTATCAGTGAACAAGGATGAAGAGTCAGGAAGTGGAGCATTGTAAGGAGGGTAGCTGGTTTGTGGGACAAAGCCGTGGGGGAATGTATGCAGGAGTTTGCAGGACTAGACCAGGAGACAGCAAGTCTGCCAAAACAGGCCAAGGATAGGGGTGGAGCAAGAAGGTTGAGGCCATGGGATGGTGTGCAGACAGTTCACAGGGTACAGTAAACTGGGTGTCTAGAAAGCATAGTGGGTAGAAGCCAATGGGTGCAAAGGAGCAAACAGGGGATGAACTGAGTGACTATAAAGGTCTATCAACAAAGGCTGGGAGCCAGTAAAACTTGAAATCACTGATAATGAATTCCGTGAAAATGAATGTGTGTTTTTTTGTGAAGTATGTGCCAGTAATTGAAAGAAAACTTATGTTGGGAAGTTTTGGCTATTACGTTTTGCCAGTTTTAATAGTGTGTCTAGGAAAGTTTGAGCTCTGCTTGTGTGCTGTGGCTTACGTTTAATGGAGAGTTGATAAATATTGGAGATATTCATTCACTATTCCCACTCTGCCTGTGAATCCAAATAAATCAAGTGTGTACACAGCACAAAAACAGAGATTAATGTTATTTATGTGGCTGCATCTCACCAAATGAAGATGGTAGTGAAAATGACAAAGTACCGTTGCCCTCCCCCACACTGAAAATGAAAAAGAAGCCCTTGAGAAATCTCAAGAAGCCCCTTGGCAGCAATCATCACCAGATTGTCCCTCTTTCATGTGCATGGACACTGCTCCACATTTCTGGTTGGGCTTCGTAGGTACAGCTTCTTCAGAAACGCAGAGTGAACCTCCAGTCGAAGCAATTCATCACAATGCCGGACTATCAAAAAGAAGATTGGACATGTTCCCTGTTTATGGCAATAGTTGTCGTGAGGTAAGTTTAAATGTTCAGTTTGCGTGTAAGTGAATGGGTGAGTGGATGAATGAGTGAATGGGTTGGATTAGTAGGTGGATGAGGTACATGGGTTGGATTTCAGGTAAGTAGGGTGGTAGATGAGTAGGATTTTAGGGTGGCAGCTGAGTAGATGGTAAGGATAGCAGGTGAGTAGTGTGGCAAGTGGGTAAGGCAGTAGATTAGTACAATGATTGGGTGACAGGTGGCCAAGTATGTAGCTGGCTCGAAGATTAGTCAGATTGGTTTGGGGAAGTAGTCTGGTTGTGGGGAACAGTTAGATCTGGCAGGTAGTCAGGTGGTCCACGGTTAGTGTGGTCAGGAGGAGTAGTCGGGAGACGAGGTTCATGGAGGTAAGGCCACTGGAGTGATTACAAGGTCAATATGACTGAATAAGGAGATCAGTTGTATTGTTACCCACAGTTGTAGGATTTTTCTGTCTAACATTTCCTGTGTAACTTCAGGTCAGTAAGTTGGAAGTGTCTGAAATCTCTGGTATGTGAGGACTTCTTCAGGGTCCAGGTGCATATCTTGTGTGTTACATCTGAGCTCTGATGATCTGGAGTCCACAGGTCTGGGTCTATTTATAATTTCAATTTTTGTTACTGTGCAAAAAAAACTTACCATAAAACAATTTCTAATTAAGTACTAATATATTTGCAAAAGAAATAGCCACCTAAGGTCAGGTTTTGGTTTTCCTTCCCTAACTGACTTCTTTGAGATCATCAGTTGGCTCCCAGGATATGGAAAATCCACCATTTCCATCTGCTCACTGTAAACACGGAGTGGTTTCAGATACTTCTGCAGCTTCAACAGGTATTCTACAAAGTAGATATGGGTATAGAAAAGTAGATTTTTACAAACATATTCAAGACAGTGTTCACATTGATAAGTGTCCTCTCTGCTTAATGCCTGTATGCTCCCGGCTTAAAGTAAATAAATGCAATCTCAGCTCTAATCCTATTGGGGAATGTTTACACCACAATTACCATTAAGTAGTATAAACCACCAGCTTCTGCACTGGTTGTCTCTGCTTCACAGACTGACATCCATAATCTGCCAACTTCTTTTTTCACTATGAAATTGGTAATGAACAATGAACAGATAATCTGATTTGTCATCTTGACTGAGGGTTAGATATTTGCCAAGATATGAAATAATGATTCTCCTGCTCTTCTTCAGAACCCACCCAAAAAGCAGGAAGAAGTTTCTCATAGCTTTCTTTCTGAATCAGAAGCTAGGAGGTTTACACCATACTCCAGGTTTAGAACTTAATCAAGGCTGCTGCCTTTAAGGTGGCACAGTGGCTCAGTGGTTAGCACTGCTGCCTCACAGCACCAGGGACCTGGGTTCAATTCCACCCTCAGGTGACTGTCTGTGTGGAGTTTGCAGATTCTCCCTGCATCTGTGTGGGTTTCCTCCAGGTGCATCACTTTCCTCCCACAGTCCAAAGATGTGTAGGGTAGGTGGATTGGCCAAGCTAAATTGTCTGTAGTGTTCAGGGATGTGTAGCATAGGTTGATTGTAGGGGAATGGGTCTGGGTGGGATGCTCCAAGGGTCAGTGTGGATTTGTTGGACCAAAGGGCCTGTTTCCACACTGTAGGGATTCTATGATCTATGAGTGTGGCATGGAGAGGGAGCTATACTGCTGGAGGTAGTGTCTTTTAGATTAATTGGCTATCAAAGCTCCATGTGGTAGCTCAGATGAATGTATAAGATTGCATGACACTTTCAAAGAAGTGATGCGTTTCTTCTAGTATTCTAGCCAACACATCTTTGTCAACCAACGCTATGGAAAATTAGAACTTATTCAATTTATCTTTGTGGGATCCAGCTTTTTCACAAACTGACTGCTCCAGATGCCAGGCAACAGTATTGACTCTACATAAAAGTAACCCAATTTTTGTACCATGCTTATAGTCAACTTGAGGATGTGATAAGGTGAAACATAGAATTTACCTTACATTGACAATTTTACTAAAGCACGTTTCACCCATATAAGTTAGAGGAAATGAAAACATTGCACCAAAACTTTATGCAGTACATTTCTGGAACACATTTGAAGGCTGATAAAAAGATCTTTCAAAGAACACATAAATGGAATCCTTGGACACAGTCACAAATTGTGAAAAACAGATTTTAAAACTGTTATTAATATCCCTCTTCTTCAGAAGTACATAAAACCAATGATAAAAGTTAGTTCAACAAATAGAAATACCAGATGGCAGTGGAATAAAAGACATTCTGATACCTCCTCTTACACTGGTTGAATTCTGCAACTAATTGTTTTGTGCAGAACAATATTAGATTTTGTGCGCGTATGTATTTTTCATACATATTCTACTTGAGAGTAATGTAGTTTTAATATAATTTTAGTGGTTTATGACAGAGACCTCTCAAGATACTGGGTGTAGTCTGGTTGTTCATGTCTGTATGTATCAACGTGCAAAAACATACATGGTTTAAACAATGGCTTTTCCAGAATGTCCACAATTTATAATCAAATGTCTGAGTTAGTCTCAAAGAAATGATGAATGCCCATATGTGCAAGTCAATGACAGAATCTGGCTGACAGGCTAGAACAACGTCAAAATGGCACGGGAAGGCATCAGAGAGTTTACTCAGAGTCTTCACATTCTATGCATTTTAGCAGTTGGACCACCTAACTGGAGCCTAATTGCAGCACTTAAGGGGCAAATTTAGACCAAATCACCTCTGGAGGCATTTTGTCAACATTGGGTGGATCCCACGCAGAGAAATTCTGGAGATGAGAACCTCCAGCAGCAACAAGCACCCCTTGGCAACAACAGCCTGAGCACTATGAACATGCCCAGTAATCCAACCCTCTCCCCAAAATCTCAATTGATTGAACTTGTCTACATGGCCCCAGTGACCTGAACTTTGCCTATCTCCCAAGGCACTTTCACCCTGCAGTCACAGCCTTAGCTATAACCATCACTAGTGGTGGCTTTCCTGAAGCTGTTGAGATGCTGTTCCTCTGGTTGGGCCAATAGTTCTTAAAAACAGGCTATCAACTTTAAATGGATGATGACGCTGGCAGCCACTCAATAGGCCACCACCAGGAATATGCCTCCCTAGGTCCCAGCACTAGTCACAAAAGGGCTGCCTCTCACATTACGTTATGGTGGAGTGTCTTCTGTCATCCCTGTAAATTCAGCCAACTGAGTCAGTGACTGAGAGTATAAACACGAGTCAATTCAAGAGATCAGAGTTTGACTGAAACATTACCAGCAACAACGTTGACAGACTTGTTTGAAGGTCCACAGTAAAGTATACATCTTTTATCTTTGTTTTCCTCGCCCAATGGATAGATTTGGTTGTTATAATCATAATTCATTTTATGAAACCAAAATACGATGTGAACTCCAACCACCGTTTTTCCTGTTCCTACAATGTAAGGTTACTAGTGTGAATATACGTTATGAATACATAACGAACCCTTTATTCACTGTTCAACACATCACACAACAGCATAAAATCAAGCATGTGTACACAGCACTGAACACTTGGTCATTTTGTTCTTGATACCGCAGTTATACACATTTAGTTCTTGCTTCCAGTAAGGCAAAATCTTTATTGTTGAGGAGAAAAAGTATTTTCTTCAAAATAAATAGTAGCCTGTAACAGTATGAAAATTCTTGTTTCTGCCACGAGTAATGCGGCTAATACCACTGCTAAGTAAATCTCCAGCCACCCATTAAAGCATCAATAGCGAATGCAATATTTCTCCTCCCTGTGCCACACATAGGAATTTCTCTATATTTTTATTTTCCTATTTTCCCTCCTTTTTTCCTCGACACCGTAATCCACAGATAGTAGTAGATTTCTGCTGCATCACCCAAACTTTTCATTCTTGAACATTAAGTTTATAATTATTTTGACTTTGGGGAACTGTCTCTCAAATTAATAACTGTGCAACCAAACAGTACAGGCACATGAATTTAGGACTATCATTTGTGTTAAGGATAAACATATTTAAAAATATGATTGGACCAACCAAGCAGTTTCTACATCACAATTTCCAACTGATTTTATGTAGCCTCTGGGGTTAAAGCGTGATCTATTCATAGCTGATCATTGGCTTTTATTTCTTGTCCAAAATATTTGTATATTTACATTTTTTATTCTTCATCTGCCTGGTCTTCTCTTACCTGGTGGTCCTTGAATGAGAGCAAAAGAGCTTCCAAGAGCTTTTTGAACTGCTTGTACTTGGCTTCTATTGAGTTCTTTGTATTCAGGAATGCAGTAGTTGGTCCGGTTCAATACATTTAATGGTGATTCAGGGTTATCTGTTTAAAAGTGTCACGGATTAGTCAATGTTGAGAGAAGAAGTATTAATAAAAGTAAAAATAAATGTCTAGGAATACACTCAAAAGAGAATATTACACATTACAAGTATTCCTCCATGTATTCTCAATATTTCTCTTCATCACAGAATCACAGAAGCAGGAGGTCATCCTTTGGCCCACACATTACCTAATGCCAATCTCCCATTTTTTTTCCCATATCCTTGCACATTATTTCTAACCAAATAGCCACCCAATGCCCTCTTGAATGCCTAGGGAAGACTGAAAGATTATGGCCAGTGCCTCCGCAATTTCCACACTCACTTCCTTCAACATTCTTGGTTGCATCTCAGTCCCTGGGCCTTGTTAACTTAAAGCACCAACAGTCTATCCAACACTTTTCCTCATCAATTTTGAATTTATCTAGTGACAGAGTTTCCTCCTCTGTGTCTATGGCCTGGGTAGCATCTCCACCTTTGGTAAAGATGGGTGCAAAGTATTTATTTAACACTGCAACCATGTCACCTGCCTCCACGTGTAAATCCAATTTTAGATCTCTAATTGGCCATATTCTTCCTCTGACCACTCTTTTACTATTGATTTGCTTATTGAAGACTTTGGGAAACCTGTTTTTATGTTGGCTGCCCGTCCTTTCTATAATTGCTTTTTGCCTCCCTTACTTGTTCTTTTTTAACCTCCCTTCTGAACTTTCTATATATCTTTTAGTCCTGATACCTGTCTTAAACACATTTTTTCTTCTTTTGAAGGGGACTGGCAAGGCATTTGCATGAAGCAGGGGGTTCATTTCAAAAATCTCTTCATATCCATAGAAGAAACAACCACATCAGTCAGATATAGAAAATAAGGTTGATCAGAAGGAGATCAAACACACAAAGTCAACACCCTGTCCTTGTCTTCTACAACTTTGTCCAGTTCCATAACTTCCATATGACCCCTACATCTTCAGCATGGGTCCCTTGGTATTCCTGGGCTCCTGGTGCCTGTAGTGACACTAGAAGCAACAGCTTCTGCTGGCACCACCACCAACAAGCAGATGTAAGCTTCTGATTGGCCAGCAGGACTTTTACCACTGAGACCCTTAATAATGGGAAAGGTCCGACAGTGTTACATTTAGTGCCTGAAGGGCAATTGATTCCATTAAGCCTCCCCAGTGTAATTAAGGGGGATTTCCTACTAGTTCTCTGACCAGTGAAATCTCACCCAATTCGAACACATGTCCTGAGAGTGTGTACTTCAAATACTGCACAAGTGTTTCATGTTGATCAGAAAATGATCATTACTTACTGCACAAGTGTTTCATGTTGATCAGAAAATGACCTGTCTGTTAATTCAAACAGCACAAAACATAAATTTATGAATTTGTACAGTCCAGTCTCAAAGCATTGACTGACTTGAATCAACAAATATTTGCCATCTGATTGATGCATTTATGACCTTAGAGGAGCAGTTCCAGTGTGTTAATGTATTCACAATTTTGGCCGGTTCTGGTTCCTGCAACAATATTTCCCCATTTCATTGTTCATCCACTGTGAACATAATCTATTACAGCTGAAGGAGATAGGATTGAGAGAGGAATTTGCAAGCCAGAAATTCTTTAGCCCATTAACCCAATAACGAATTCACCAGGTTCAATCAGACAAAGTGACAGTCAGCCTGGAAACTGTGGGACACAGATGGGAGGCCAGGTCTGGACCCTAGCATGGACCTGAAGCAAAAACCTTTATTGGCCCCTCATTAATTGCTCCTTTCTAAAGTTTTGTTCTGTGTTGTTGGCTCCCCAGCAACTGCACAGTGCTATATTTTCCAAAGGCCTCCCAAAATTCTGATCAGTGATCAAACTGCACCAAAGTAACTTTCCTTTGATCCCAGGTACTTTGGTGGGCTTTCGAATAGGTGTTCACAACACTTATAATAGCTTTTAGTGCCGCAGTCACCAAATGATTCAGAAAGTGATATGAGAAAATCACAAACGAATTACAAATATAACGTAAGTAATGAAAAATGCAGTTTAAGTTAAAAAAAATTGCTCCAACAACCTCCAATACCCTGAAAACACATTGTAACCATATAATTCCACCATATGTTTATAAATGATCCAAAATGTTAAATAGTTGAAGACTATTCAAGATAATGGTTGCAATACCTTAATACAGTTCAACACTATAACAGGAGACCAGCAACAATGACTATAAAATAAGAAAGACCCACTTGCTTCCTGGGACGCAGATCCTCCAGGGTCAGGTCTGAAACACAGGGTGCCTGTATTAGTGTACAACTGGAGCCTGATATACTCAGTGAGATGAAACGTCCTGGTTTTCAAATGAGTGGAAGTAAATTCCATTGAGCCTCCAAGTAAGGGTCCAGTATCCCAAAGAATGATACAATTGTATCTTTTTTCTAATAAACCTCAAGCTCCAGGGGGGAGAAAAGAAATGTCCTCTCACTAATGTAACCTCAGCATGGTCAATATTAGCTTGATCTCAGCTAACCACAAGGATATTATCCCAAGTATATCAGGGACTAACAATTTTCCATTGACCACATAAGATCAAGTTACACTGAAAGATGAATACAAAAGACTGTTCAGCATTCAGTGACTCTCACAAAAAAAATGCAGCATTTTCTAATCTTGCACTTTTCTGACATGTTATGTGCATTTACTGTTGAATGGTTAGTTGAGTGCAGAAATGTCAGTACAACTGTGAACAAATTAATAGATCTCTTAAAGAAACGTCTTCAAATTTATCATAGAAGCAATGAACATAATCTATTCTTATATTTGGAATAAGTATACAATAAAATTTGATGTTTCCCTTACTTCTGAGAGGTATGGGTTGACCCAATGCTATGTTCTGTGCAAGCCGTGAAGAATATGGAAGATTCTGAATAGCACGTTCTTTGCGTCTGAAAATTTCAAACAGAAGTTATAAGGATTGTGAGTCTAGCAATTACAACAAGTCTGAAGAGGAGGGTTAACTTTGGCATTATCTCCTTACAGATGCAAACTAACCTCATGTGTATTTCTGCACTTCCTGTTTTTATTTCACAGTGAGCTTTCAGCTTCCCAGCCCTAGTACTCTTTCCTGAAACCCCTCCTCACCCTTCTTTCCGCAAGATGCTCCTTACACCTCCCTGATCAAACTTTTAATCACCTGCCATCACACTCACATGGCCGAATGTGAATAAGGTTAAAACACACTCCCGTGAAACACTTTCAGATATTTTCTAACATCTATATAAATGCAAGTTGCTGTTGCTGACCAAATCAGCGACCGTTTTGAGGGCTTTTCCAGCAGGGGTATGAATCAGAAGTACAGGATAATGTGCCAGCATCTGTGCAATATAAAGCCATACTCTTTCCTGGGTGAGACATGATACTACGGAAAATATGGAGGCCTTTGTATAAAATCTAACTTTGGACATTCTTTTTATGGATCTACAGCCCCTAGGTTCAATGGTACAATCAGAAAATATTCCATTGGAATCCCAAAAAGATTGCTAAAACTACAGTCAATCTTGAGAGAAACTATTAAAGAGACAGAAATGTTACAAGATTGCAAGTGCCCTCTGACTACTGTCACATGATCCATACTGTGTCAATTCTTGGAATAATTCGTCAATGTGAACATGACTCATCAATTTCTCTTCCCACATTGGTTGTCCAGTTGCACCTGACCTCCTCTCCTTTTGCTCTCCTCCTCATATACAGTAGCTTGTTGCTCGTAATCAAGCAATTCCATAACAATCCCTTGGTCCTTCCGGTTAACTGGCTGCAAACGCCACACAAGACTAATTCTACTAACTCACTACATCCGTCTTTTCCAACAGTCCTGAACAGTTCAAACATCAAGTATTATAGATGCCCACTAAAGCAGTCTCCCAGCTCATTCATGTGCTTTATTGTAATTGTGCTGGGTTCTGAGTTGATAACCATGTCTCATGAGGCACAATTGTAAACTATAAACAAATTTGCTAAATTAAATCATCTCCATCCCTGAAAACCTAGGATATAACAAATGGTGCTGCAACACAAACATTGTGAATGTTGTCAGGAAATATTTACAGATCAGATTTTCACAGAGCAACTGTACACTTTTTGTAAGTATTAAGGTAAAAGGTACAAGGTGGTTCTGTGATATGTTGGATTTTCCATTCTGATGTGGAGAAAACCAACTAGTCCTACATGTGGAAATTCACCCTATTCCCATCTCCAGCCACTTATACCAGGACCAGAAAGAAGGGTAAATTAGATGCACACATGCAGCATTCCAGTTCTTACTGGTATGAATGTGGGTGTGAACATGTTAAACCTTGCACAATTTTGATGGAATCAGGTGGCTTCCGAAGATAATGAGGTTCATACCAGCCCAGAGGTGTAAAGTACATGAGGCACTCCTGTCTTGGAATGTGGAACTTTTTGATTGATTAATTCAAATGTCAATATATAATGCTGCATGATAAGCTAAACATGTTTTGTTGCAATGTTTGCAGCTAGGACGTTGCTCTAAATAGAGAAGAGACCATTAAATTGTCAAACATTGTTAAAGTGGAAAAGGGGTTAAATACATTACAGCACTTCCTTAGAGAGCTGCATGGGGTGGCTCAGTGGTTAGCACTGCTGCATCACAGTACCAGGGACCCGGGTTTGATTCCAGCCTCGGGTGACTGTCTGTGTGTAGAGTTTGCGTGGGTTTCCTCTGGGTGCTCAGGTTTCCTCCCACAGTCCAAAGATGTGCAGGTTAGGTGGATTGGTCATGTTAAATTGCCCCTTACTGTTCAGGGATATCCATGAATTAGGCATGGGAATGCAGCGTTACAGGGATAGAGTTGAGCCGCTCTTCAGAGGTCAGTGTGGACTCATTAGGCTGAATGGCCTGCTTCCACACTGTCGGGATTGTATACATTATCTAATGGATAAAAGGTTCTCTGCCTTGAAGAATAGTCATATATAAATTTATCTGGCAATTGTTCCCTGAACAGATGGCCAATGGCTTTTAAATATTTTGCTCTGGATGCATTGTTGACACAGTTGTGCAATTCATTTTGATTATGTATGCTTAACTAAATTCCAAACACCACCAATGGATTTAGCTCAGTACAGGATGTATAAACAAAATTCACTCTGTATTGCAAACTAGTTGTCTAGCCAATTGAGTCAACCAATAACCCTACCCCCCACCAAATGTTCCACTCCTACAAACTTTCACAAAACTGGACAAAACAAAAATTCATTTTATCATGGTTGACAGCCATAGTACTTACAGATCAGGAAGTAGTTTGGGAATTATTTCCACAACAAACATTGTATCCTCCTGGAATATTTCATTTGGGATCATATCCATAGTGGTTTTATGCACAGAAAAGATTGTCTTGATGTGGGGCTCTCTCTCAAGTTTAGGACCATCATTTTTAAACTCTTCAGTCACGGCATGTGCTACCCAAATGTAACTGTCAGGGTCAATGTTCAACTCTGAGGAGTTTTCTGATACATGAAGGGCCTTAAAACTTTGATGAAGAGGCTCATCATTTCTGGTCAGGTTCCTTTCTGGTTTGATTTTCAGGCCTCGACACCGGATACACAGATAGCAATTAGTCAGGGCACTTTCAATGTGCCAGTTTTCACAAAATTCTTTAGGAATACAGAATGAGCCCTGCAGCTTCCTGCCATTGGTATCCTCCCTCATCCAACTTATTTTAACATCATAAATGACTATAACTTCATTCTCGCATACAGCACTTGATGCAGATTCCATTGCACACAATGGTCCCCAGATTTCTTGGTATTCCTTTGCATTACTATAGATCTTTTGAGGTGACCTGGTGGCATATTCTGAGAAACATATCACAGGATTTTCTGCATGTTCAATACAAATCTCAAAGACCGGAGTTATACTCAACAACTGCACAGCTGGCACCAAAAAACCATTCTTTATATCCGTGCTCAGCTGCAATTGCAATGCATCACCATTTTTCACCTCCAGAGAAATGTGCACATAATGTGAAACTGAAGAAAGTTGGCACTTGCTTACATCTATCTTTCCAAAATGCCCTTGCTTGCCATTCGATAAGACACCTTGACTGTTCTCCAGAAGAAGAGCAGCCACTTCAGAAAATTTTTCCGACCTGACTGCTTGCACAAATTGCTGCCAAGTGTTAGCATTAATAGTACGGACATGTGGGTTGTCAAATGGTGTAGGTGGAAGAATAGAATTTCTTGTTGTTTCTAAGCAGTAGATTCTTTTCCTCCATGTTAACTTCATTGATTTTGTTCTCTCATTATAGGCAGGTTGATCCACCAGCTGCAGAGTTCTGTAATTTATATCGTGGAGCTCTGATAGAGCATCATTTTTCAAAGGGAATATAACCTTGAAGTATCTGGTTAACGGTTCAACATCAACAGCGAATACCAGCTTTTGCACCACTTGACTTCTAAGTTGTGTTGCAAAGTAGAGGCATTGAGCCTTTTTTTCATAATTTGAAGCCTTCCTATTCTTTTTGTTGAAATCAGTACATAATTTGTCAATTTCCTTTTTGCTGTATGGAAGATTTTCTTCCCTGCAGAGGGTCATGGCAAGGAGACGTTGGATAATAATGTCCAGATATCGGCGAATGGGTGAAGTGGCCCAAGTATAGGCTTCAAGGTGCAGAGAGTAATGTCCTTGCTTTGACATAGATGTTGAGCTGGAACGAGCGAAGAAGGATCTGAGCATAAGTTTTCTCAATTCCATCGTTACTGGTGCAAGATTTGGGTGGATATCATCTGTTGCAATGAAATCTGTCAACTTGTGAATGTCATTATCCTCAGCTGCTTTTATCAGGCTGTTCCACAAAGAGGACAAGATCTGAAATTTCTCACAAGGTGGAGATTGAAAATTTGGTGCGATGCCAAAATGGTGGGAGAGATGAACAGAAAGGGAAATTAAGTTTTTGTGCTTATTTTCAAGCTTGGCCATCTCCTGAGGTGCAGGAAATCCCTGGCATCTCAAAGGTGTCACACACATTGTTTTCATCTTATTGGTCAAGAATTCAGCAACAAAGCTATTCATCATTATCATTAGTTCTTCAATCATCTGCTGGGATTTTCTATTTCCTGGGTGCCTGTCTTCATCTGCCTGATCATAATAGCAATCATCTTGAAGTCGACATTTTCTATGAATTCTGGAGAAGTGAAAGGCTGTTGCAACTGAATCTTCCAAAGTGTCAAATCTCAACTCACTTCTACTGAAACAGTTGAGGATACACTCTGCTTCATCGTAGGAAAGTTTTCTATCTGATTGAATAACAGAAAGTGAAAAGTTTGCTTTAACAACTTTGTCTGTACCCTTTTGTACAACAACAAACAGAGAGATGACCTTGCGTGGTTTTCCAGGTAGTAGGCTGCAGACTTCTTGACTGAGCTTTGGTGGAAGCATATGAATTGGATCTCTGCCAGGTGGATAATGAGTAACTCCACGCTTCAATGCTTCACCATCTAAGAAACTACCCTTTGGCACAAAGCTTGCTACATCTGCGATGTGAATCCCTATTTCATAATTTTCACCTAAGTCTCTCACACTGATAGCATCATCAAGATCCTTGGAACTCTCATGATCCACAGTGAATGTTAAATACTTCTGACAGTCCTTTCGATTCCCGTCCAAAATATTTCTAATCTGGCTGCATTCTGCTACCTCTTTGAAAACTTCTTTTGGATAGCTGTCATGAACTTGATATTCCAAGTTCAGTATTTCCATTCCTTGATCCATTGTTACTGCTGCAGGAAGCATTTTAGTTACAATTCCCAGTGGAAAGTAAAAACAGCTACGCCAGCATAGTAGTTCAACTACAAAGAAATAATTCCTCCTTATTTCTTCAGTAAGACGTATAGTTTGCGTTGTCACAATTTTGTCTTTTTTGCGTTTGCGAATAGGGATTCTGTTACGAGACTTTTTATCCACTGGTGGTGTGTAGATTTTTGTAACACATTTATTGACAGGGACCATTACATGCAGATCATATTCATCAACTGTGCAGATGAAGATTCTTGGCAGATCGCCTGCCTTCAGTACTCCAACCACTTTTCCACTTAGATTAGTATTATCAACTTGGCCTGAGTCCTGGTCCAGAATTTCAACTAAAACTTGATCACCAGGGAATGACTGTCCACAGTTAACGCGACCTTTTATTTTAATGTGTACAGACTGAGGATCGTCGAGGGTGACAGCATAGCCTTTGTAAAATTTTTCCATGATTATCTCACATCGCTTATATTTTGAAGGCTGAGTTGATAGCAGCCTCTGCAACAAATGTAATGGATAATCTGTGTACTGTACGTTTTTCTTCTTCTGTAAGGACTGAGTGGATACTGTTGGAATTTGATTATTGATATTCTCCTCTGGTTCTATTTCGTCTGCTACAACTATATCCATCAGTCCTTCTTCTGTCACTGTTAATGTAACATTCTTGCTCTCATCTAAAAGTTCTTGTAGTATTGGATCAACATCCTTTTCCGAATAACAAGAATCATTGTCACTTTCATCTTCCTCCTTACAAGCCCATTTCTCAGTGTCGATAACAGCCTGTTTAATCTGCCCCATTGTGAGATCCTCTGGGTAAATGCTTCGATTATCAATAGACTCCTGAATGTACTTTTTCCAAATTTTGCTGCATTTTCCAACTGAGCAAAGAGCCATTGCATCACCAACAACAATCACAAGAGATTGGGCTCGTGTCATTGCAGTGTTCAAAACCCGAGACTGATTGAAAAACTCCAAACTCGCACTCTTTGAAGAAATGCTGCTTTCACAAGTGTGCACTGTAGAGATGATCATCACTCTGAACTGTTTTCCTAGTTAAGAGAAAGAGCAAAAAAATTACCCAATGTGAAGTCACAATTGCTGTAAATGTGTATCAAATATTTCTTGTATTCATTCACAGGATGAGGGCATAGCTGGCTAGGCCAGCATTTCTTGGCAAAATATCCAAATGCTTCTTTCCTTAGCTAGTGTGTTGACATACTCTGTTATTAAGACGTGTAGTAGGATTCAGGAAGATGCCAGAAAGTTCCCACAAATGTCTCTATTAAAAATCAGGATGCACAAGCCTTCTTGAAAAGAGGTGAAGTGCATGTCTCTCCAACTCTCCAGTAGGTATCTGAGCTCCCCTACGCCCCACCTCTTCTGCTGTGCAAGGTTCCATACATTCTCTTGGGAGAAAAATCACTTTTTTTTTTAAAACTTTCTCTGTCTGACTCTTTTATATCTCCCGCTAAGTTCCACCCGTATTTTTCAACCTTTGCTTCATGTACATGCTTTAAATCTGATTTTTTTTTAATTTACCCACATGTTATGAACCAGACCAAACCCCCTCAAAGCTTGCCTTGACATTAACATTTTCTTATTTTGAAGGCAAGTGCTAGGCATTGCAATACTGGTGCAAAACTGATCGAACTACCAGACTTGAAGCAAAATACACTTTATTCATACACTATAATTAAATTATAATAAAAGAAAGAAGAAACCAGAATAATTTAACTCTATTGGAAACAACAGGATAATAGATTATTTAACCACTAAACAGCAACTGTTTCAATATAGTAACATCACATAAATACACTCCTGGCAGAGACAAATCCAGTAAAATAGATTATCTCACATGCAATTCTAGCAACAGGAAGAGGACTCCCAGCTTTTAGCTGTAACAGAGGAAGGAAAAATAGCTTCCACATCCAGCTTTAGCAACTGCTACTGAAAAGTTAAAAATCCTGGTTCTGTGAGAGCTTGACCCCATCCATTCAAGCTGCTTCTATTGTTCCAATTTTAAAAAAAAACCCTAAGGCCTCAAAAATTGTTTATTAGCTCTGAAATGACTGCTTGCCACCTCTCTCTCAATATTTCTTCAAAAAAAAATTCGGACAAAAATCAAGCTATAATATCATCTCGCTTGAAACCTGTGCATGCTGGCTGGCCAGCATTTATTGCCGATTCCGAGGTGCCCTTGAGAAGGTAGTGGTGATCTACCTTCTTGAAAGACTGCAGTCCATATGCTGGGTAAATTCACACAATTTAGGGACTGAATTCCCACAACAGCGAAAGAAAGGAGATATATTTCCAGGTCAAGATAACTGGCTTGAAGGGTAACTTGCAGGTGGTGGTGTTCCTATCTAACTGCTTCCCTGGTCCTTTTAAATGGAAGTGTTCATGGATTTGGAAGATGGTGTCTAAGGATCTTTAGTGAATTTCTGCAGTGCATCTTATAGACAATATACACAGATACTACTGAGCATTCTTGGTGGAGGGAGTGGATATTTATGGATGTGGTGCCAATCAAGTGGGCTGCTTTGTCCTGGATGGTGTCAAGCTTTTTGAGCTTTATTGAAGCTGCACCAATTCTGGCAATTGTATGCCATCATACTTTGCACTTCTGCCTTGTAGACGGTAGACAGGCATTAGGAGTCAGGAGGCGAGTTGTGCGCCACGGTTTTCCTAACTTCTGACCTGCTTTTGTAGTCACTGTGTTTGTGTGGCATATCAAGTTATGTTTCTGATCAACAGTAACCCTCAGGATGTTGATACTGGGGGATTCAGTGATGGTAACACCACTGAATGTCAAGGGGAGGTGGTAAGATTTTTTGGTGATGGTCATTGCCTGGCATTTGTTTGGTGCAAATATTACTTTCCAACTGTCAGCCCAAGCCTGGATATTGTCCAGATTTTGTTGCATTTGAAAATGGACTGCTGTCGTATCTGAGAAGTCACGAATGGTCATGAACATTATGCAATTATTGGCATTATGATGGAGAGAATATCATTGATAAAGCAGCTGAAGGTGGTTAGTCTTAGGACACTACCCTGAAGAAGTCCTGTAGAGATGTCCTGCAGGTGAAATGAATGACCTCCTACATTCACAATCATACTGTCTTTTATAAGGTTCTGCTGCAGATTCTTGTAGTTGGCAGTCTTTCCCAATGAATAAATATATAAATGTTGGAAAGTTATATTTTTTAAAATTTGAATTCTACTTGAGATAGAATTTGACATGCAATACTCTTAAATTTCCAGAGACTGAGAACATCGCATCTTGATTTTTTAAAATCTTGAACGCCTTTCAAGTATCTTCAAAAGTGATTTCTTAAATGTGAGCTTTCTTACCTATATACATAGACCTAAACTGAAAATGAACTTAAAAGGGGGTAACATGCTGTTTGTGCATATTCACTGACTTCTATAATTGTTTAAAATAGTTACAACTCATTTAGAACCACATTAGGGGTTTTTTGACCTCAGTAGAAATGGGAGTAGTTTCTCAACAGGTGAGAGAATACCCAAATGCAATATCAACATGAAAAACATGTTAAAAACTTTCTGATAGTTCAATCAGTTATAAATTCACCTACCTTGAATATTGAAAACATTCTCTACAGTTACTAATGAGTATCCACATTGCCTGAGTTTGTGCCTCATGCACTGAACCTAAATTAAACAAAAATTAAATGTGCAATTAATGTTATTTTGTTTCTTGACTGCAATAAAGTAAGCCTTTCTAAATGAACTGAAAATTTGAGTTTGCAACACAAAAAGTACATCTTCAACTTCCTAATAAGGAACTCACGCGTTCCTTATTTCAGGCATGTAATGTAGATACATGAATAATTTTCAATGTTAGTTTTCAAACAAGGACAATGTCACATGGAGAAGGAAACACTGAGCAGTAACTCATTGCACAACACACAACTGATTTTTAAAAAACAGTGGTGATTTTTAAAGATTGTTTCTTGGCACCAACACATCAAGTTATTGACAAGGAACGAGGGGTCCTCTACCGCAATTTATCTCTATTGAAATTGAGGTGAGAGTTTGTGTTACGTAACCCACATTTTCTCAAATAATCTCACTACTTTAGCCTAAGAGAAGCTGCATTTTAGTTATAGTCCTGATACCAGTTCTAAATTTATCTGCCATGAATTTAAAACTGTGGTCCTAACATACTTTTTAATACAATATTTTTTGCTCATTTGACTGTTTGACTTAGATTAACAGGTTTGATTGTTTGAGTTTCTTATTTTCTGAGGAATAGCAATTAGGCGAAAAACAAACTGTTTTTAAAAAATGTATCTCAAGACACTCATTTAATGTATAATCTCTCAATTAATTGCAACTCTACAGGGCTTTTTGTCATCCCGTGATCTGTATCATCTAGAAAGCCATATGTTTCAATTGCATGGGAGATTCCACACATGTATGATTCACTCAAAATCAAAGGCAGAAGTAGGTAGATTTGTGTTTCAGATTCACACCGCATTCCTTTACTAGCAAAAAGGGGATCAATTGCAAAGAGTTGGGATGTCTGCATCCAGGTCCCACTCATCATTTTTAAAGCTCTCTGGAGTCTCCCCAGCTCATTGAATTCCAGCCTCTATGCAGATTTTCTCTTCTCAGTCGGAGAGTTTTCAATTCCACTTCAGTATAATTCGCTAGCTATGGAAGCAGCAAATTAATGGTCAGGTGGATGCTAATCTCACAGCAGCCAACTAACAATCTGTTTGAATATCAAACACCAAGAGACAAGAGTGAGCCTTGCGTCAAATATAGTCATTACCTTCATGGTTAGGAAATAAAACAAAATCGTTATTTAATTATTTAATAATGAACAACAGCATAATAACTGAGTTAAAAGACTTGTTCATACTGCAGAATAATCTTATGCAGCTCACAGTGGTTACAATAGGAGAAATGTTTTACAATTGTAAACCAAAACTAGATGAGAAATTAAACACTTATTTCCAAGAAACAAAGGACAAAACAAGTTGATTGCTGAGATTCTAATAAAATAACATCGACAAAGTTGGAAGAATTTGATTGAACTTGCCATAGTTAGACTTGGAACCTGAGATTGTCGTAACGGAGAGCAACAAGGAAATGAACACAACTGATAAAAGATCTTGCTGCAGGTTTCATTTCTACCTTGTACAACAGATCCTCTCTAAGTTATGTTGTCCCTGAAACTATGGCAGATGGAATACTTGCATATTTATCAAGTTTCTGGATTCTTGGAATTCTAAAATAAAAACAGAAAAGAAGTATATTTCCCTAGAGCTACGGGGCCACATAGTCTTCCAAGATAACAATAATATAATCAGAGAGAATTATGCTTTTAGTGTGTAAGGTTACTTTTTGTAATTTGTTATTTCCACTGAGACTGAAGGGCACGGTGAATTCACAAACTGGTTTTACATTGCTGGTCTCAGGTCTGGATTCAGCTCAGCTGGGCTGGAATCTCTTTTCCATTAGTTCACAGTGTTCTTGCAGGAGATCTTTTCTGCTGGTTCAAAGCAGGCTCACCTTATAAGGATAAAAGTAGGACTATATGGCACTAATTTGCACAAAGTTTGGAAACAGGTCATGGGGACCACTGCGGTAAGGCTCAGAAAAAACCTTTCTTTGATTCTGTGAAAAAGACAGAAGACGTACTCTTCTCAGAATATAAGGCTCAGAAATATTTGGGGTAAATATTAATTTTTTCAGTCTGTCTTTGATTTTTACTACACTTGATTCAAGGATATTTAATATTGCTGAACCAAACATAAAGTCAAGGTCAATTCCGATATCTCTCTTTCCATGATATGTTCACAATCCAGCAAAAATCATTTTTTGAGTTTTTTACAACATGTTCCTGGCCAGAAACATTGGTCTTGATTTTGTAGTTAAAGATAAATGCACAGAGTGTGCTGTACACCTCACCAACAGTTACACACAAGGAAGTTAGTCCTGTTTGTCATACAAAGATATAACTGTTGTCATAGTTCCTTGAACAGTTAGGAATAAACAAAAATTGGTTCCTAAAATCTCTTAAAGCTAATTAGTCCTTTTCAAGTTGTTAAACGGGTTCAGTATATATTCTAAAATGCATTACCTGAAATCCTTCAGAAGATACAACGCACACTGAGCTTTGATCCAATTGTCCCCACTCCACAGGCCAGTTCTTCAGAACTGACTCTACATTTTCAACAACTTGGAGAATTTCAGTCTCATTATACCAGGATAATTTGGAAGAGTTGAAACTGCTGATCCCAGGAACATGGCAAAATATCAAAGGGTAGAACTGAGGATGAGGTAGAATGTTTCCACTTGCTTGAATGGTATCAGCCTTTAGCGGATAAAAGTGCGTTGACACAAAGTGAATGATCTCCTTTACCGATCTATAGTTTTCCCTGAAGATTATGCGGCTTTTGGCTGCTTTGTCATGTTTTTCCTTCTGATAAAACTGGAACAGACGATTGAGCAAGGTGTAGTCTGCCATCTCACTACTTTTGATGGAGAAAAGTTTGGGTGTCATTTGCATGTGATCTCCTGCAAGAACGATTCGTGTTTCATTGCTAGCTAGGGCCAGTGGAATCAGTGCATCACATTCCAACATCTGAGCTGCTTCATCAATCAGGATGTGTGTAAAAAAGCCAACGGGCAATTTGAGTTCAGAAAACAATTTTGCCTCCATGCAAGTGGTGATGACTATACGGTATGATTCCAAAGTACTTCTGTCAGGCAAAACAAATGAATTATTCAAAATTAAACAATATTGTTTTGTGATGGGATCAGTATGAATGGGGTTTTGCTTCACGTATTTCATTCGAAGTGGTCTTCCTTGAAGATTTCCTGCATCCACTTGGAAATGAAAATAATCCTTGACATACAGATCTGCAGCACTGAAATGACAGGCCAAACAATAGTGAACTCATTAATTAGACTGAAGCAGTTTATTTAGGATCTTAAAATACTTTTAAATTTACACATCTATTTGCTGAAGGGCTACATTGATGTTAATACAGTGACATGTGTTATGCAGTTTTGTGTTTTTACAGGATCTAAAAGACAATTGAATTTAAAGTCGAGAATTAGAAGTATCATTCTATTTAATCATTAAATGTGGGCACAAGTTCAAAATTGGTGGAGATTATTAAACAGATCATCAATTTCTGCCCTATATAATTTCTATGTTAAACTTTAAAAATATAAGCTTGCAATAGCTAACAGTTCTCAACTTTTTGTGCTGTGAAATTGATTGACTTCTCTGGCAAATAAATGTAGAAGGAACTGCTTTAGTTCCACATGAATTCTCATTTTAACTATTAGGGATAGAGATGCAATAATATATCAACTGACGACAGACTGAAATTCTAATATCGGCTGGATTTTGTGGGGTCCATTGGAATGGGCAAGATGGCAGACAGGGACAGAGATTTGCACAGGACACTGTGTCAGTATGCTATAGCAGGAAAGCTCCATGATCAATTAAGACGGCAAAGGAAAAATAACAAAATGGGAATCTGCATGACAGATTGGAGTCTCTAAAAGGGAAACATTTTGGAATCTGCCTTCAAGAAAGGGAAAGGAAGCAGCAAAGTAGGAGTCATCCACCCTGTTCTTCTTAATCTTCATGCTGGAGATGCCCGAAACAGGTGAATATCATGCTACACATGATCAGGAGGAGGCAGTACTAAAGCAAGTGCACAGGCTGTAGCCTTCACTGAATCCACCGGGATGATGCAATTGTTAGATTGAGATATCTCAGAGTTCAGTTGAACACATCGATACCACTAAATGATCTTGTTTAACAGCAGAGGAATCTACTCCTTAATCATGAAACATTATTTTGTGTTTGAACAACAGAAATTCAGTTGTTAGAGATTTAACCTGCAGAGGCTTTGTAAAAAAAAATCCTGCAAGAAAATATCCAATTCTAATAGCGGGCTGGCTGCCCTGTAAATATGGTGCCAGTTCCTGCACAGCTATGAGATGGTGCAGACTTTCCAGTGTCGGGGCTGCCCCACACCAAATGATTCAACAGCAAGCACTAATTGATCAATCTCTAAGTAATGAGGTTTAGCCAAGTGTCTCAGATTCCCCGATAACCTCTCTGCCCATTGATGGTAGCCCTAAAATGGACCCCTTCAGTTTACTGAGCTTCTTTCCATATTTACAATCCGTTTGCAAAAATTACTCTGTATTGTTAGTCCATTTGGCTCAACAGCTGGTTTGCAAAGCCAACTGTGCGGATTCAATTCCCACACTGCCTGAGGTCACCGTCAAGGTTCTGCCTACTCACCATTACCCCTCACCTTAGGCATGGTGACACTCAGGTTAAACTCACCACCAGTCAGCCTTCTCCAATGACAGAGTGGGACTACGGTGACTTTGCCCTTTAGTTTTAAAGAATGAAATATCACTAACTGAGACTTTAAAATTACCAAGAATGATGAGTCTGATGTTAATTCAAAAATGTTATTTGTTGTTGTTAAATGTTTCCTTAATGAAAGAATTCCCATATTGTTCTTTTGTAAACACAGAATAACACACTACTCACCTGTTAGTGTCAGTGCATAACAGTAATCTAGTGTTTGGTTTCTTCACTATTTCCAAAGCAGCTGTTGCCAAGGTAAAAGTCTTTCCAGTTCCAAATGGCCCATAAATTAGAAGAGGAGGCGCTGATTTTCCCCCAGATGTTTTTCCAGCTATGAAGGCAACAGCAGCTCGTTGCTTCTGGTTTCCGGTCAGAATAGGATCAGTAAACTGAGGAATGGAACAGTTGACAATATCTGGAAAAATAATCTGCTCATTTGGAAGTTTATCCACAGCTTGGTGCCTGAAGCAGAAAGGAAGCCGGTCTAATTGGAACTGAATCTCTACATTGTGGTGGCTTCCTTTGTGGAAAGCGAGCTCAGTGTGGCAACGCGGTGACAGCTTCAGAGCAATGCGATTTTCAGCGGTAGCTTCACAAATGATGGCAGCCTCATAAACAACGTTGTGTGAAGATGGACTTGGTGCTAACAGCACAGTATTAACTGCCCTCTTGAACAGGAAGCCTTCATTTGAATCAGTCAAAGCAGTAGGGGGTGGGAAAATGGCAAATAATTCTCCGTCGTGTGCAATCATTAATCCTTCAAATACATCTTCCAACATGTCAGTGATAAAAACGGTTGCTGTTAGACTGAGCCTAACAGGGAGAAATTCGAGAATTATGATTAACGCACTAGTCTTTACTGTTTACTATAAGTACTTATGCAATCTAGCACAGATGTGCACTGCAGAAACTGCTTTATTCTAAACTGGGTGTACGAAACAATTATAGCTCTCAGGAATTTTTTTAACTGAACTGGTGAGCTGCAGACATCTGCCTAGAGTACGCAGGCAGCTCGCCAGAGAAAAGGATATCAATTTTTGGCACTTAGTCATCAGAAGTGGCCTCAGATAGGTCCTGGGAGGGGCAATGGCTGGTAGATGAAGGGGTTAGAGATCAGTAGAGGGATTGGGTAGTGATTGGTAGTGGAGGAGGGAGTGTGGTGACCGCGAAAGGCATTATCAGTGGAATTCTGGCTCAGCTGGAAGTTACTGCACTGGCCCAGTTTTGGGGTGATGTCAGAACCCTTCTTCCCATGGCATTTCACTCTAGCCCCATCCAGTTTGTTTTGTAAAATAATGTGTTGATTTATCAGGGGTCCAGGCTGCTTCCTTGAATTTCTCGTTGGGATTCAATAATATCCCATCGATGGTTTATTTGACTTTCCATGCTGCACTGGGTCCTGATTGAGACTGGCAGGGTGATCTTCTGGTTCATGGAATGTCTATCTCTTGTCTGGCTCTCTGAGGAGATATCCCTTTTTATAGGAGGGCAAAATTTCTGTCTCTTACATGCTAGACCAGAAAATCCTGGAAATAGTAGAGCAACAGAGCAGCTAGTTCATTAGGCTTCGGGTGAGTTCCGTAGTCAGCTATCAGTTAAAAGGGGAAAATTCATGAAGCTCCTAAGAAACTTCAAAACCCACAGTTTCTCATGTCTGGAAAGTTTAGCACCTCATCTTTCTTAAGTAAGTGCTCATGCTGTGCCCTACTGAAGAGAGATACACGGAATTTCAGCAGAATAGCTGTGGTCTAATGAATCAGGGTTTCATAAAGCAAAGAACAGCAAATGCTGGAAATCAGAAACAAAAATCTGAAGAAAGGTCTCTGAATCTGAAACATTAACTCTGCTTTCTCTCCACAGAACTGCTGAGTTTCTCCAGCAATTTCTATTTTTTGAATCAGGGTTTCACTTCCCCAAACAATGAGACAGCCTTTGGAACAGGAGACAGATGCATACTAATCAGATTGGCTTCATCTTATATGCAAAGCACATGTGTTTGCCAACAGAATAAATAGATTGCCAACAGAATAAATAGAATGCAGAGTGTTTTACAATATGGGGGAGATGTAAACAAATACCTACACTAACTGGAACAAACCTTAAGGTGTGCCAGCCAATAATAAATGTAAATCTGATGGTCAGAAATAGATTAAATTTGAAAAAAATAGAAACATTAGAGCTGCTGTAGCATAAATTCAAGTAAATCTAACAGATAAAGTCTGCAATCTTGCAGGACTTGCAAAGGCTAATGAAATAGATGCCATTATCATCATATAGAACACCATCATCTTCAGGAACTGACTGTTTCTCCGTTTAGATCCAAATTGGCTAATTCTCTCTCTACTGATTTTGGGCTTGAGCAAGACATTTTGTTGTAGATACTGTCTCAACATCTTTCTCATCAGATACGTTACCTTGAAACTACATCTTCTTCAGCTTGTTCCTCTTGATACAAAAAATTATGCATTCTTTCTCTGTAATTCACACGTGTTATCGGAATGTTTGCCATATCTTTGACTTTATATTCCAATGATAAAGCAGGTGGCTTGTATTCCTGCAGCACCAGAAGTTCATTCTCAGTTCTCTCCATGCAAGGCACAATTCTCCGATTGCCACTGTGCCACCTCTCCAGATCGACAAATTGGACGTCATTGTTTGGGTTTTCAGGTGGTCGGAAAGCATTCATTTCACTGATGTAAATCTTCCTGACAAGGACAGGTCGGCTTCCAAAATCAAAAATAACCCACTGGTCATAAATTCCTAAGTTCACAGCTTCAAATGAGACCCCAATATGATAGGAAGTTTCTGATGACCGGAATTTGATGCCTTCAGCAATAGAACATTTCTTTGGTAAGTCTTTTCCTTCTAATGAGAACACTGCACCCGGGGCTCTCTTCAGCAGTGCAACAAACAACAATGGTTTCTACATACAACAATAAAATAGAATTAGTGAAATTCTTCATCCAATTCAGACATAAGAGTATCAACATTTTTTCAGAGAATAAGGAACAAAATAAGGACAGCCTGTGAGACAACATTTCAGATCATTCAGACAAGGCTACTCTTCAACAAAAATTACCAGCTTCATTCAGAGAGCTCACAGAAAAGATCAGTTTCTGAAACGTAGCACCTCCTACTTGTACCCAAGTCTCTTTGAGCTTAAGAATGAGTCACATTGCTGGGCCAAAGACAGGAAAATATACTGCTACATTTATCAGTGTTCAACCTGCTTTGGGGCTGTTCGATAACAATAATGAATGACAAACAATGGCAAAGGTTTCTTTTTAACAGCACTGATGCTCTTTCATCTCAATACAACAAAAATGAACAAATGCTCAAAGGGCAGCGGAATTTCAAAAGCAAAGGATGGATAGAATCATTAAGAAATGACATGAATTTTATGCTTACCTTGCTAATGGGTTGGCAAGCATTAGGAGTGCACAAAATTGGGTAGCATGCCAACGGTGCCACCCCCATCAGCTGCCTGTCCTCCTTGTCCCACACCCTGCTTCCATCAGTATTTTACCCAGGGCAGGGGAGGTGTCAAGCTCTGCACATGCCCATGGGCCAACTGAGGTCCTTAAGGGACAATTACTAGCCACTTATGGCCTCCTGCCGCTGTCATTGGGTCTTTACTTTTGGTAGTGGAGGCCTTTGCCAGGTCTCCCCAGGACCCAAGCAAGAGCTGTCAGTCTGGTGGACAGGCTGGGAGGAGGTGTACTTCCTGTTCATCAAAGTCCCCTCCCAAAAATTATGAATACCTTCCCAGATTGTCCCCTACCCTGACCTGTCACATCAGCACCCCCCCACCCACCCCACTCTCTTTAACCAGGAGTCTTTCAGGCTGTACTCCATTGCTAAATGTCTCCCTCAGAGACTGCTGCACCTCCTGGTGGCACTGCTCAGATAAGACAGCTTTTGGTAATTTGATTGGTCAGCAGCTCTCTGAGGCAGGACTTCCTTGTGGAAAGGGATGGACATCCCACCTCAGCCAATTAGAGGCTTGGAATGATCCCATTCTGACTCCAGCTAAGTGGAAAGAATGTCAACGGATGCAGGTTAGATTCTCTCTTGTCGAAGGTGGTCATTGCCTAGCACTCGTGTGGTATGAATATTAGGTGCCATTTATCAGGCTAAACCTGGACATTGACTAGGTCTTGCTGCATCTGGATATGGACAGTTTTAGGATAGAAATGGTCAGCTTTATACTTTCACAAGTTGTGGGTTCCCCCTGTGATCCATGATAACTCCTCCATTCTTCAGACGCCCCACTGTGTCGCAATCCATGTTTCCCCAGTGACCCTTTATCCTCCCCTTTTTAGTTGAGCTCCTTTATGTCATGATTAATGACACCATTTTACCCACTAAGGCCTCATACTAGCAAGGTGTCACTGCCTTTATGAGTCCTGTACCCTTCCCAGCTCAAGGCCACAGTGACTACGAATTGCCTTGATGTCTCCTTCAAGGCTGTTGACTGCTCTTCCCCGCCCTATCAGATTCCACCCTTTTATACCCTCTATCCACCCTTGGCCAACTAAGTATGCTTCCCCTTTCCCTTTACATGTTGCCATGGTCTTCATGTGCTTGCAGTGTGTTTGTCACCTAAGCTGTAGGCACACGTACTGCCTCTGGCATTGATATAGCACCATGACATTTACCAACATGTACCCTCACCATTTCCCATTGACGCTGCACTGCTCCTTACAGCCGTATGCTGCTGCTTCAGTCCTGCATTCAGATGTCCCTCCCAGCCACAGGCTGCCTCTTTCCCATCTGTATTGAGTTGCACTCTGAGACAAAAGCTCCTGCTTGACCTTCTGCCCTGAAGTGCTACTGTGAAGAAGAAGCTGGCTCATTGCTGTTTTCCAACTGAGTTCCAATTGGGCACCTTGGACATGCCAACTGCATGAGTATTGAGAAGGTTTTGCTTGGGGCATCAAAGCTACATACCCACCCAGACAAGAGGCAGAAGGCCAAGACAAAAAGGTACACAATAGTATGTACAGTCAAGTTTCTGAAGCGAGTATCTTGATTGGGCAGAAGTTAATTGGGAAGATAAACATAATTCCTGGATCTTAATTGCTAATGTTTAACTCAATGGTGGGAACCTGATTTTGAGACTGCCTATCAATTAACTCATCACACTCACTATTATTCCTGTCACTCTACGAGTGGAATATTACATCCACAGAATAGAGTAGAATAGAATAGCCTTTGTTATCACATACACTCGAATGAGTGCAGTGAAAAGTTTGTAATGTTGCCATTTTGCTGCCATCTTACGTACAGGATACCTAGGTTACAGAATTGAAAGAGTATTACAGAGTTTTACAGATAATTTTACAGGAGGTTAGAGAGATTGAGAGGCAAGAAATCTAGGAGGAGGAATTCCAGAGTTAGAAACCAGGCCCACTGACCAAAATTGTCATTAAATTAAACTGCCAGTCAAAGACTTATTCTAAACAAAGTAGAAAGCAAAGTCCTGTCCATGTAGAAATATCCTGATATCATCAAGTTTGCAGGTGACACAAAAATAAGTGGGAAGGCAAATGGTAACATAAAGAATCTGTAGAGGGATATATGCAGGTTTAGTGAGTCAGCAAACATTTGGCAGATGAAATATAATGTGGGTAAATGTGAGGCTATGCATTTTAGCAGGAAGAATAGAGGAGCTGAATACTTTTTAAATGGAGAAAAAATGCAGAAAGTTTGGGACTTGTATAAACCATGAAAAGGTGGTACCTATGTTCAGCAAGTAATTGGGAAGGTAAATGGAATGTTGATCTATAGTTCAAAGGGAATGGAATACAAAGATAGGGAAGTCTTGCTAAAACTGTACAGGCACCAGTTAGACCACACCTACATTATTGAGAACAGTTTTGGTCCCTTATCTAAGAAACGATATACTGCTATTGGAGGCAATGCAGAGAAAGTTCTCCAGGTTGATACCAGGCATGGAGAGAATTTCTCATGAAGAGAGATTGTAGGCTTAGCCTGTATTCATCGAGAGCTCGAAGCTGACTGGCGACCTTATTGAAACAGATAAGTTTTTGCAGTCCTTGACAGGGTAGATGCAGAGAGGTTGTTTCCCCTGCAAGAGAGTCCAGGACCAAAAGATAAACCTTATAGTAAGCAGCCATCCAGCTGGGACAGAGATAAGGAGGAACATTGTCTCTCAGAGGGTAGTGAGTCTCTGGAATGCTTTACTGCAGAGGGCTGTAGAGACTGAGTCGTTAAGTATATTCAAGTTTGAGACACACAGATTTTTAATCATTATGAGAATCAAGCATTACTGGGAAACGCAGGAAAGTGGAGTTGAAGATTAACAGATCATTTTGAGTTCTGATATAATTCTTCTTCAGAATCAAAACATCGACTCTATCTATCTCCATAGATGTTGTCAGACCTGCTGAGTCTCTCCAGCATTTTTTGCTTTTATTTCAGATTTCCAGGTCCCACAATATTTTCCTTTTAATAAAAATGCTGGCCAGGCTAGTGACACCTCTTGTGACATCCCTTTAAAGCATGAGTGTGATAATGAGCTGGAGACAAGGGCGAGAACATGATTAACAGCTACAATGGGTTTTCAATTTTCAGCACTCAAGTGTAAGGTTGTCTGTTTCTATGTAACTACAAGCCTTGAATCACTGCAACCAATCTGTCTGTAGATCAAACCTATCCTAAGTTGTCAAGTATAGTGAATCTACATCAGTTACTATCCCTGGGTGATGGTTACTTTAGAAAAACAACATAAGAATACAATGCATCCGCATTCTGTGAATGAATTTTAACAATAAAAAATGGGCACTCTCCTAGTCATCGTTGGGAAATTCCACTGATTGCACTTGCCTGCATATCTTTGAAAATGTTCCCAAAATATTTTTAAAACTTGAAAATGCTCCAAAAATTAAACTGGAGAGTTTGGTTGCTAGGAAACTAATAGGATGGTCCGAAAGAGATTACGTGATTTTTAAAAAAGATATTACTAAGGAACTGACTACTGTATCCCAAAACAAGTAGAAAATGGAACTGTATATTTTTAAAAGTTACTTTTAGTCATTTTTAGATCCAGGTGTGGAAAAATGCATTTTGTTACAAACTCATTTTCAGCTATATTAATTTAGATTTTATATAGTTTTTTTGTATAAATCAGTTATAAACAAATTTTCAGCTGTACTAATAAAATTACATTTTAAAACATTGTGCTGTTGTTTAGGTTCATGGCTAACTTTGCATTCGATAACATGCACTAGTGCTGGAACAGGAATTTAACAACATAGAACACTCTCAAAGCAACGTACTTTCCTAATCAACCTGCTCAGAGATGTTATTACACACTTTGGGAGTTGAATCCGGATCTTGAATATACTTAATGACCCAGCCTCTATGGTAAAGATTTCCACAAATTCACTCCCCTCTGAGGGAAAAAAATTCCTCCTCATCTTTGCCCTAACTGGATCCGAGAGACACTCTACCACTGCTCCACAAGAACTACACAATTTTCGATTTTTTAAATCAATCTGTTCAGACATACTACAATACACCTCTAGAGCAGGTGGGACTAGAACACCTGCCTCCTGGTTCAGGAGCAGGAAAATGACCACTGCACCACAAAAGCCCCACTCTCAGAGCTAGCATAATTTCAAGAACAATTTTCACTTGGATCACTGATAATTCCTGATTACACTGATTGAAGTGAAAACTATTTCACGATCTGGAATGATGCAACTGGAGTGAGCACAAGAGTACATCTTTTTCTTCTGTTCTCCAGTCCCTTCTCACTTACATGTGTGATTTCTCTGACACTTTACAGTTCCAGAATTTCCAGTTCGTGGGTTTCAGCTGGATGTGCAATCCATTTGTACGTCCATCTCCCATCAGGATGGTTGCAGGGCTCTCCGCTTCTTCTGTCTGGAAAAAGGC